CTCTCTCTCTCTCTCTCTCTCTCTCTCTCTCTCTCTCTCTCTCTCTCTCTCTCTCTCTCCTTGTCTGTCTCTGGAACCCGAAGCTTCGCCCCCGCACCCGCTGGCAGTCTGCGCGGTTCGGTGTTGGCCCGGACCCTCCCTCGCCCGACACCCACCCCTGCGCTGGCTCTTCCCTCTCCCCTGGCTCTCCTTTTTCGACGCGGCCTCGTTTTGCCTTAACAGACAAGCCACCAATCCTCACCATAGTTGTGGTTCCCATCATCCAGCTCCTCGAGGCACTGGTTGCAACCGGCCAACAAATTCATTCTCACCCCTACTCCGGCAAGACTTACCGTGGTCGAGCCACCATCTCCACCGCTGCTGTACCCTATTCCCGCCCTACAGGCTAGCCCCTTTGCCGCAGAGCGCGTTATCTCCGACCATCACCACCAAAACAGCCCGCGGCAACCAGCACCACGCTAGTGAAGATTTTTCTGAAAAAACAATAGACTCAGATACACATTGTTTCAAGTTCAAGATTAAGAGCCAAAATTATGACGTAAAGACCGAAATAGGAATTATAGAAGGAATTTTTAGAAGTTTAAGATTCGAATTAAAAGACTATAGCAAAGACTATAGCTTAGTACAAACGAAGCTATACTAGATTGATTACGGGTTGGGGCTCTGGAGCCCGCACAAAAAAAAAAAAAAAAAAAAAAAAAACAAAAACAGCGGGTGGAGGACGGGCAAAGAGGGGCAGAAGGCACACCATGGCGGACTTCGTGCACTGTTTCAGAGCCTCTTTCTCTTTCTCTTTCTTTCGCCAGAGGGAGGTTTTCTGGCGGTCGGAGCTCCAGAAAAGAGCAGCAGACAGGTGGAGGGAGGCAGAGGACGGAGAGCGGAGCGCAGAGGGTGAAGGACAAGCAGCAGTGGACTACACACACCATACCAGAACTCTCTCTCTCTCTCTCTCTTTCTCTCTCTCTCTCTCTCTCTCTCTCTCTCTCTCTCTCTCTCTCTCTCTCTCTGAGGTTGTGGTAGGTCCAACGTATGGCTGGGGCCAGGCAAAGGGAGGGCGAAGGGCAGGATGTCGGGAGGTCAGCATGCCTCAGAGGACTACACGCCACACAGGCGTCTCTCTCTCTCCCTCCCTCCCTCCTTCTCTCTCTCTCTCTCTCTCTCTCTCTCTCTCTCTCTCTCTCTCTCTCTCTCTCTCTCTCTCTCTCAGTGAAGCTTGGTTGGAGGGAGGTCTGGTGGCACTGGGAGGTCCAACGGATGTGAAGGGTGGACTCAACTGAACAGCAGGGTGGACTCAACTGAACAGCATTGGTTGCTCCGCCAGGGGAGGACTGTCATTTTTCGCCATCCTTCCCCTTTCCTCTCAGCTATTTTGTTCGACATCATAACACCTTGGGATCGCCGAGACCGATAGAATAACGCCAAAGACTAGGCGCTCAGCCCAGATGCCTAGGCCCATATTGGGATCTCTTCATTATGGGAGTGTTGTTAGTTGCACGAGTCTGAGCTCAAAATTATGTCAGTTTTTCCAGTGCAGATGGTACCCCTCCGTCGACACAATGTTGCTCCCAATTAGTCAGTTCCCTCCAAAAAACGTTTTCTGAACCGCTCTCTTCTTTACTTGGCCTGGTCTGCATTAGCATCCTGTTTTTTCTCCACTGTACTCTGATTTCAGCTTCTATCGAATGAATCTCTTGTTGATGCCCACACCTTTTCTCTGTCTCTGCATTAATCGTCCAATGCGATGCTGCCTGTACCTTTCTTTCCAAATTACCCATACTGTTCCTGTCCTGATTAGACGACCAACCCACAACCTCTCGGCCTTTGAAAATTCGGAGGGGATGCTACCTTCTTCCCCTGAACACAACGCACCTTCATTTTGACTGTATCGAGCCGCGAACATGCCTTGTATACGTTCATTTTCAGGGTGCGTTGTGTTTGGGGGAAGACGGTAGTCCAGAGGAGTCGAAAAGGGGTGTTCGGGAAAGGGGGATGGGAAAAGGGACAAAGCTCGTGCATCTGATTGGGCATAGTGATCTCAACTCGCACCATGGGACTTCAGTCACCAGGTTGGGATCGCTTACTAGAAGAAGATAGATTTGCATTGCTTTTGTTTCTTGCCCGGCTGGGTTGATGATCCCTAGCCCACCATCGGATTTGCTCTCTTTTTCCGTTTTTTTTTTTTTTTTTTTTCATCTTGATATGTTGAACCACCAGTACTAGGCCCAGCTACTGGCCGCGGGAAAGAAATAGAGTAGAAACGTTTCTAGTGGGATGAATGTGGGCGCTTCTGTAGTGGCCCGTACGTTTTCTAAAATTGTGGCTTGTTAACGGGCACAACTTCGGTAAGTACTGGTGGTTTTAAGTCCTATGCAAGGTTTTTGGTATATAGTTGGTCTTGTTCCGGTTGCCTGCCAATATGGACCATCCCGGGCCCATAGGTAGGTTCTGGTTCTTTTGTTTGCAGCCCGTAGGGGATGCGTGCGTTCATACACCTGAGTCGTTTCACCTGTTCGTTATACCCGTCATTCATTTAGGCCCATTTTGTGGTCGAGGGAAGGTATCTGCATTTTTCGCACGACTATTCTGGGGGAATGAGGCTTTGACGTCGCGGAGAGGACCAGTAGTTAGCCATGGTCCTCGGAAAAGGTAAAATGGCACACAGGCTCTTGTTAAAAGTTGAAGCGATGCGGCCCCCGGCCTACAGCTCCTTGCCCAGCCGTAGGCCTGGGCCACTGCTCTTCAAATGTTCACAAGACCCTGCACGCTTGTGCAAGGAATATGAGTGTGAACGATATACAGAAAGCCAATGTTGCGAAATCACACAGATGTCCAGGTAGTTGTATCCAAGCAGAGAGTACAAAATGCACCGAGAAACCATCCATATAGAGCAATACAATGAAGTAACGAGCCAATGTTCAAGCCCGTAGGCCACACCAACACAGTATCCAAAGTTGCTCCTCTCTGTCTGGCGCCCAGCGCCCAACCTACTCTGCCCGACCATCCTACCTACAGCTCGTTCACGCAACAGGCTCGCTTCGACTCTCGAAGACCAATGTACATGACTGTCAACTCCATAGCCGACCTCTCTTCATGCACAAGGTATGTATCTCGCCACCCTCAATCAGACCTTGATTACCCCACACTGCGCCTCCTTCCCTGAAGACCACCAGATCACCCACTGTACCCTCTGGCGCCCAGCAGCGCTTCCGGATTGCCTGCACTGGCCAGAATGCCTGGCCTGGACTGCCCTACTCCTTTTGCGGAAGTGGCAGCCTCCTGGATGCTGCGTGTGGCCTGGCTGCATGCTTCCAGTAGCTTCCGGTTGGTCCTCAGACCCTGGGCCCGTTACAGTTGGGCACGGCCTGAGTCTCCGGACTTGGGCTGTTTGCTGCATCTGTGCAGGGCTCCCAGGCAGGTGCGTCGGCAGTAGTGCTTTTGCCAAGGCCGATGGCCTGCTTCCCAATGTATCGGCCTTGCTTTGTGTGTATGTGCCCAGGCGCAACTGTCAAGGCCTGGGCCAACTGTATGACACAGCTTTGTGAGGCTCACACGTCTATCCAACCAACTGGCGTGCTGCAAGAGCCTGAATACCCACATATGGAAATGTCGAATTTTGCCTCTGACGAATATTCAGGCCCGCCTTCACTTACGGCGGGCACTCGGCTTGCTGGTGGCCTTAGCCCAGATCATGTGACGTCTGATAGGGCCCCTTGAGGGCTTGTTCCTCACACTTTAATTGATGCAGCTTGTGCACAGATTCGCCTGGACTGCCTACTCGGTTGTACTTGGTGCGCGCCCTGTGGGCAGATACATGCGTCGGTCTCTCTCTCTCACACACACATGGTCTCTCTCTCTCTCTCTCTCTCTCTCTCTCTCACACACACACACACACACACACACACACACACACACACACACACACACACACACACGCACACACAATCAGTTTTATGTATGTTTGTTTTTTCTCCTTTTGTATGTTTTCTTCCTATTTTTTCTAAGTACTGCTTGTGTGCCCAGCTGAGCACCTCTAAGTCGCGTCAAACAGTCGGTCATTCCTCCTTTGGAGTGCCTGCAGGACTCTTAGGGGGGCTGCTCAGTTCGGGATGTCTGTGTTTCCTACGGGTGATGACGGATGGTCGTCTGGGTGACTCCGTTGCTCAGCGGGTGGTGGGAACCAACAGTCTGCGGGGTTCACCCGTGATGTGAGTAGGTGATGTGCCGCTTTGCTCAGTGTTGGATGTGTAGACTGCCTTGCCTTGTCTGCGCTCCGCCGTTGCTTGCTGCCCGTCCCACTTGCTTCATGTGTCATTCGTTGTGGACTGTTATGTTCGCTGTGTGGTGTGGCTGTGGTGTTGGTGTTGCCCTGTGCTTCGCTGCGCGACTGCCCTGCTGCCCATTCGTTTGCCGTGCCTTCTGCATTCCTTGCTTGTGTGCCGTGTAGTGTGGCTGGTGTGTTGGTGTTGCCTTGTGCTTCGCTGCGCTGGTTCTATGCTGCTCGTCCGCTTGCCGTGTCGTTCTTTGCAGCCATTTTTGGGATTGTGCAGTCGTGTTGCTCCGGAAGCTTTGTCTGGTGCTTCGCTGAGTTGTTGCCTGCTGCTGCACTCCACTTGTGGACAGTCTGCCTTCAACAAGGGTCCAAAGGGTTCATGACCCAAACCATCAATACGGGGATTCCTCAGATTGTCGAGGGTTCAGCCTCCTGATGAGTCGGTGCAAATCTGACGAAACAATCTATCATTAGTTTTATTTTTTTCAGTCCTTGAAAAATTTTCCGGCACTTCATGTTTTTTTAACTTCTCTGTTTGGTGTGCTTCTGCGTCGTCTGCAAAGTCTGTCATGCCTGTGTCGGTTTTCCTTGTCCGGCGTCCTACCAACCTCCTCAGGTATGCTGGAGCTAATCGAGCTTTGGGGAATTGGTGGTTACAGTTTTGAGGCAGAGGTTGGGAAAATCCAGGGTGAGGATTACCAGTCCTCTCTCTCTCTCTCTGTCTCTCTCTCTCTCTCTGTCTCTCTCTCTCTCTCTCTCTCTCTCTCTCTCTCTCTCTCTCTCTCTCTCTCTCTCTCTC